AGAAAGAAACCAAAAAACACGCGACGGGAATATTCGTATACGCGCGCGTTAAGCCATAAATTGCATTTCCCGTTACCGGATACTTGATCTTCCTTCCGTTGTTTTTCCTTTTCCCCCCTTCAATTGGGATCGTGGAAATTATTCGCCGTGAAATGAAGATCGAGCGGCAAGAATTTTCTGAAGAAACATCTTAACGGTTAAGATAGATACGGCGACGGTGTGTCGCGCGGATTTCGTTCTCGACAGCACGGGACGATCCGAAAAGCAATGGGGACGGCGGAGAAAGAGAGAACCGAGGTAATTGACGAATTACCGTTCGTTCATCGCCACCACGACCAAAGCAACCACGTCGGGTAAACTGAAAGCAATAATTCTCATGCGTTTAAGAAAAATCGACCTCTGCGACCTCTCGGCTGTGAGCTCTCGCGAGAAGCGCGCTTGGAACGTGCGATTGTGCGAAAAAAAAGGAAAAAGAAGTGTTACGTTAAAGATTGTCTGGAAACGAAGGAAAAACAAAGTGTGAGAGAAGAGAGAGAGTGTGTATGTGAGAGAGAGAGAGAGAGAGAGAGAGAGCTTCGTCTAGTCGAGAGTGAGCGAGCAAACATCGAGATATGTATACGTGTATTCGTGTAAATCGTCGTCAGGAAGCGTCAGAAAGAGATGTAATCGATTTCTGATAACATGATGCAGACGTGCATCACTAAAAAATACAACGTGTATCGCAGTTACAGCGCGATCAACGCCCACGCGATCCGCCCGCCTGCTCGCACTCGTTCGTTCGTTCTCTCTGGAAGCACCCAAAGGGATCTGTCCGTCGAATAGTCGATAATAATATCAAATAGTAAGGCAGAGGGAGGAGAGAGCATCATCTCTCGCGTTCTCGCGGGCGCGCGGATAATTTCAGATAATAAAAAGATAAAGGGCGATATCACGGAGCTGGCCGTGCTCACGTTTCGCGCGCAGTTATGTGATAATCGCGTAATTGCGCGAGAAGCGTGCGAACAGCGCGCGCGTCGCGATCGTCCCATTTTGACGACTTATTTCTGACCTGAAGTCGAGTCGTAAATCACGGTTTTTACGGCAGTTTTCGCTAATTAGCGCACCCGTTCGCGCGTGAACGGGGCGAATCGCGGGAGCGTGATTTGCCGATCGCGTTGAATGCATTTATTATCGTTTAGCGACATTAGGAACGCGACACGCTTTCATTGTAATGTCTCGAAAGCCGGTGGCAGGAGGTCTCGATTGTGTATCTTGAAATATAGTGAGAATCGCTGAAGTGAGCTCCCGTTCGATCGGCTTGACTTTCGCGACAAAGTGTAAATGCGACGCACGTCTCGCGTAAAATCGTTCGATAAAGTAATTTCGTGCACAGAGAGAGCGAGAAAAGGGTTTCTTCAAATTTAGCGTTTCTATTCATTCGACTATGATTTGTTTCACAGAAACAACATATATGAAATATATAATTTGTTCGAGTAAAAATTGTATTGTCTCATTCAAGAAAACCCGACTGGTTAACGGAAAGAACGCTATTGTTCGAAATAATATCGGATAAAATATCATTTGGTCGCGATAAATATGTAAAATGAAAGGAATAACTTCTTTGCAACGAAGATACACAATCGACATCCCCCGGTGGAGGAATTTCGTTTAATCACGTCGAATGTCAAGTCGAGAGATAATCGGCATAACTATCGACACAATGCCGACTTGTTCGAACACTTGCGGGGATGATTAGTATGTCTACTGTGCGTACCGTGCGTGAGGCCGATTAGCCGCGCGCGCGCGGCTCTGATGCGTCATCACGCGCGTGTTAATTTCACAATTTACGATTATTTCGTTGTTCCCACATACACACACACAGGTCGATGCACGTCCGTCGTACAGTCCGTGCTCGTGCTTCTGCATCCCCGCCCGCGCGAACGGAAAACTGTCGATTGTGTCTGCGCGTTCGAGCTCGCCCGGACGATTTATAATTTTCGCGGCGAAATTCAGCGCGGAAATTCAGCGCGGACTTTTGCGTAGCTCTCGTAGCTTCACGTTTTGCGCAACGCAGAAAATTTATCCGGAGTGTTGCGTACAGCGTGCGTATGTATATATATATATATATATATGCCCGGGGAAAAAAAAGATCGTACATGAAATTTGCCCATGTATGACCATGTATAATCAAACATGTCCATATCGAAAAAAACACTGTTGTTTGCAAATTATATGCAAACACAAGCAAAGTAAGTGCTTCCGGCTACCTGTGCTTCTGACAGCACGTGATATCGACGTTTAATTAAATTACATCATTTTTTTCGTATAGACATGTATGATCATATATGTAACCACATATACACGGGCCAAAATTCATATATGATTTTATATAATTATGTATAATCATATATAATCACTTTTCCCCGGGTGTATGCATACATATGTCGTACACGTGAAACCCCACCGGGCGACGTTCTTTTTTCTTCTCGTTTTGCCTGCGACAAAGCTTCGAGCTTCACAGAGGCACACACACACACTCATACAGTATTCCGGTATATATATCCGGAAGGATACCGAACCCGATGATTCGCGAAGCAGTCGATTGTGGTGCTAAAGGAGAAAACGGGATTACCAACGACTCGATTATTAATCTTAAATCTTTTGTATGTTTATATGCAGTTAAATGACGACGATGTTTGCGACAATTACGTAATTCAGTGTTGTAAAATTAATAATCCGATTGTAATACCTTACACACCTACCTACACACGTACCTCGTTAGCGAAAAGCATGTGCTTCGAATTATTATCCTTGTAATTTCGTAAGATGATTAAACGGACCTTGGAAAATCTTCAAGCCTTTTCGCTGCTTCGCTGTCGATCTTTGAACCTGTACGCATCGTACCACTCTCTCCTATATGTTCTTATGTTATTTTTAACATTCGGTGACAATATAAAAGTTCACTGTCGAACATTCATCCGGACTTCGCATCGAAATACAAAACGAATATCTTCGTTACTTAATTTTCGTGCTATTTTTCCCGGGCCGTGAAAAATACCGTGGAAATTCAGCGGGCTGTATCTTCTGTAAAAATAATAGCGATAAAGTGGTACGAGAAACATTTTGCAGCGCGAGGTCTCTAGTTCTCAGATATTTTTATGTGAATACGACGTTTATTTATTTTTCACGGCGTTACACGAATAAAAATCGAAATCCGTCAAATACTGAAATCTATGATGAAATTTGAGATGTGCCGCTTAAAGAAAGAATCATACACAACTGTCACTGACATGATTTGAACGCGTAAATATTTCCCTTTCATTTGCGTATATGCAGACTATGGTGCAATTTTTTCCATCAAGTTGTTAAATATTTAAACGAAAACCGCTCTTTTGGCTTTGGTCGGTCACGAAACGGCGCACGACATTTATTACACAATGAATATAATTTTCAAAGTTTCATTTTTAACACACATTTATTATATTTTTATAAAAATATGTTTTTAATGTAAGCACTTGACTGGAAGAAAAAGTTGAAAAATTGTTTCTCATTTATTTCCAAGTATCTTGACAAAAAACCATAATAATATTGTAACACTACAACGCGAAAACTAAAGATTGCAAGTTCTAAGATGTTTCTCGAAACATTTCAATAGTGTTATTTTTGTTAGGTTTTATTTTAAAATGAACGTCTATCCAGTTGAATCGTATTATCTGAAAAAAATAAAGACTCACCTGATTTGTTATGTTATACTGCGACTTCGTTTTTCTTTTCATTTGGTATAAAGTGTAGAAAAAGTGTATAAGGACTAAGTCTATCCGACTCTACTACGACTTTGAATCTTAAGTAAAATCGGTGGCGACTCGTAGCGGAGATCTCGGAACTAATAAACATTACGGGTCTTCGATCGAAAAGAGTCGAAAGAAGTGCAGACGCTTTTAGCCGAGAATCGAACCTTGTCGAAAGACGGAACAAGTTTCTTCTCGGCATGGCTAGATGGCCGCCTAGTGTAGTAGTGACTCGTAGCGGAGATTCTGGAACAAAATTACGGAAATAACGGGTCTAATAAACCCGTTATTTTCTGCTCAGAAGTGACGGGTTTACGGAATTCTTAAACCCGTTATTTCCGTAATTTAGTTCCAGAATCTCCACTACGAGTCGCCACTATACTTAACGAGAAAATGAGGTCGTGATATGACTAAACGATGGAGTCAGACGTACTTCTATTTCTCAAGTAGTATGACTCAAGGGCTAGTCAGATGTACTTTCCATTGTATTAAAACAGGCGAAATTCAACAGGCTGTAACTTTTGCAATAATGATGCTATCGAGATCGCTCAAGAAGCACTTTAAAACTCGAAGTCTTTAGTTTTTAATCACATTAGCTATATTAACACATTAACGGCGGGCGATATTTTGTGTGATCATAAAAACTTTAAGGTACAGTCGAGCTAAATTGTTTTACTACGACTCCCGCCTTTAAGCCGCAGTCGAGCTAAATCGTAGTACTACGACTCCCGCCCTTAATGTGTTAATATTGTCGTTAATTTTTGTCAAGAAATTTCGTTAAACGAAAAATGGCGACCGTTCAATTTCAAACTTCGTCTTTCAATTGAGCTTTCAGAACGAAAAATTATTTGATTCAGGCGAAAACGTAATACAGGCGTTTTAAAGAGAAAACTTTACACTTTTTACGTATTTGTTAACGGGTCATCGATGAGATAAGAATAAAAACCACTAGTCCTACAGGATTTAGCCAGGTGAGAAATTTTTCTATTTAATAACCTCCTGTCGGTAAATTTTGCGCCGTACCGTCGCAGATGATAACCGCAGCAAAAGCAGATCAGACCCCATTTTTCACGCACCACAAGTTCACCCAAGTCCAGCGATCTTTATCCTCTCCTCATCGGTGTTTCTACGGGGAGAGCTTTAAAATGGCGCTGCCTCTGAATTTGGCGGTTAAATATTCAAAGCCGGCTGTCATCTAACCTGCAATAATCGTGTGAGCTACGATTGTTTACGATGTTGGGTGCCGCTGGAATAACGTCCGTACATGTTGAGAAATTGGGTGCGTACAGAGACACTAGCAAGTAATTTATTATTTACAAAAATATTGACGCTGTCATGCTTATTTTCTTACATACATATTGCTTTCAGGTCACACTATCGATGAAATACGACTACGCGCCTTGGACAATATTATCTCCAAGTACGATTTCGGTTTCGGATGCGACTGCGATGCCGTGAAGAAAGAGATAATTCTGCGGCTCTTCAACTGGTTTTCCTTCGAGACCGCTCCGCAGCCAGAAAAAGTGCTAGATTTATTGTTGAGACTGATGAAGGTACTTGAACTGTTTCATTCGTATCAGTACAAATTCCTGGATAGTAGATTGTGTAATTTAATGAGAACTTAATATATTTTTTATTAATCATTAATTAACACCTGGCTAAGCAATGTCAATGTCTGACCTCATCTGATCGATATCTACTCTCACATCTTGTGGTATTTTTACTAACGCTGATTTCTATTTTCAGACAGATACTAAAAGTTACTTGAATGCATTTGGAAAATTAAGGTTCCAAAATGAGCTTCACGAATTAAGAAGGAAGATCTCGTCCGAGTGGCACGCAAAGTTGAACAAAATTGAAGAAACCGTTCTACGTCTAGGAAACAGTGAGACGGACGAATCGAATACATATGTCAAGGTATATAAATTTTCATGTGTTATCACTACTTGTATAGGGAGAAGGAGATAATTACAGTTGTGTTCCAGGATTTTACGGCATCTTTGGAACTTGAGAGAGACAGGTATAAGACGCGAACACAAAATCGTAGCAAATATAAAAATACGGGTTATGAGAGGGAGAATTACGAAGAGTTATCTGGCACGTACCATCTACCGTCAATTTTGGATAAGTAAGTATATCAAAACAGATATACAACCAAAAAATATCCTATATTTACGTTTTTCGTTTCGATAGAATATCATATAAATTAATATACATACATCGTTTGTGCTTGTTATACATAGTACGATACCGTTTGACACAACATTGGAACACGAGAGCGATGCTCCGGTTTCCAAGACAACGGAAGGTGGCATCAAGTGGCTGATGATGCCGTGGCAGCCGCTGGTCACGTCGGACAAGGGAGTGCTCACCGCCGTCGAAGAGGCTCTCAATAATAACGTCGACACCAATCTCATATTACACACGTGTCAGTTCATAACGAACGTTATGATGCAGGACTTCCCGGCGGAGGTTTTTCTGCAACGACCGGCGATAATCACCGTAAGTGTTTTACTTTAATCAATTTAACGTTTCGTACGATACGTGGTGTGCTGACGGAATACGTGATTGAGATGATATTACAGATACTCCACGGTCTCCTTAAATCGAGCGTCAGTGTGTCAGAAACTAAGGTCGCATGCGTGGTTCCGACCGTATTGAAGACCTTGCGTAAACTCACCCGTTCATTGAGGTTCCGCATTTACTATTACTGTGAACCTTGCGTGGCAAATAAGAAGCAAAAGGTAAGTGAAAGTAACGATAAGTTTTAATCAATAACAGGATCAAGAACGTGGTCTACAAGTCTAGAATTAAGGGTAAGAAATCACAGTCGGTTATTCTCTTTACGTTCGAATATGTTTGGTCGATCTCTTATTCTCAGGAACATATTCCATTGCAGGCTGCGTTGAAGGTCCTTACTTCCCCCTATTTCTGCTTGATAATTTTCATCATTTACCTAGTTACTAGCTAGTAAACTGGATGGCAACGTCTACGCGTCTTCGGAAGCGGGAGACGGTCCCGACGGTGGTGTGCCCGAAGCCAACTACCAAGCGTATCAGTCGGCGGTGAGTTCCGTCTATCGATCCGTTTCACTTCGCACTTCCGATTATTCTTTCACGATTACGTCTCGCTTGTTCCAGGGGACCAGCGACCGGAGTCAAAGCATCAGCGAGAACATCGACGACTCGGTGCTGCAGCTGCAGCAGATGCTGCTGCCTGTTTACTGCGTGGAGTCCCTGAAGCTGGTGCTCTCGCAGTTGAGCGTGCCGGTCGACCCCAGCTATCCTCTGCGGAACGTCAAGTATGTGATGGATCTGACCCACGAGCTGGTGCAACTGTTGATCATTTGCGTGATGCCGAACATCTGGCTGTGGAACGACGGCACGGCCTTGAGAATAAACGACGACCTGAGGACGCTGCTTCGTTTAATGGGAGAACTGATGGAATACTTCGCGAGCTGCAGCAACGTGGACCACTTGAGGATAACGTACCTGCATCTCATCGCCGTCACCATGAGATTGCTCAGCAGCATCGTGCCGTTGGAACTGGCGGACGCCGTTATACCGGACACTCTGAAAGTGTCGATAACGAACGCTGTAATGGATGCGCCGATATACCTGTTGCATCCTGCGCTGCACTCCATGTCTCTAGAATATGCCCGCGTGAGTGACCGGTTATCCGGTTTCGCGCGTTCGCTCTATCCTCTCTCTTTCTCTCCAACTACTTGATGCAATCTTCTTCACTTGCAGCAATTTCAAGGCGCCAACGAGCTGGCGTCGGTGAAGCTGTTCGACGAAACTAAAATCGTGACGAAGTCCGTGCAGGCGTCCATTTCCATATTGAAAGGATCGTCGGAGCGATCGCCTTCGGAAACGTTAAGAGTGTTGTACGCAGCGAAACAGAGTTTGCCTTACCACAAAAATTTATCGGTCGTTAAGACGGCCGTCAAGTTTCTGCAAGATCTGCCGAGATACCGCCTGAACTGCGAGGACCGCGCGCTGGCGACGAAACTGACACTGTACTTGCTGGCGAATGCGGACTCGGACGTTCAACGTGCGACCTACGTCGAGTGTCACGCTCTGGTCGAGAGTATCCTGGGAGTTGAATATAACAGGGAGAAACTGTCGTGGGAGAACCTGACGTTCCTGCTCGAGCCGGGTGTCCTGACGGAAATTGTCTCGCACGGCGCGACGAGCGAAGACTGCGAGGTAAACGAAAATGTTTAATCGCTCAAAGTACGTTTTCAAAAAGAAAACGAAGTTGTATATATAGTGGACAAGATCTTGGCCGGGAGATTTGCTTGATTTTGCACTCGCAGATAAATGAGATGTCGAGAGACATCCTGGTGCTCGTGCTGAAGGGAAGAATGCAGATGGGCGAAGCCGGCTGGCTGAAGACCTTGGAAGTCCTCGTTCCTGTGTTGCATCTTTTACAGTGTCACGCCGATACGTTCACACCCTTAGGTCAGTGTGTGACCAAAATGTTCGATCCTGATGTTTCCAATGATATACAGCTACCGTTTATTGAGGTAACTTGAGGATTTATCGAGGTAATTTCACCTCGTAATCTCTTTTTTTTTATTTCTTGCCTGCTGTACAAGCTCCTCAATTTTAGGTGTTGAAGGGCAATTTGAGATTTCTCTACGCGTCGGACGGCGACATTCGAGAGGAAGCGTTATGCCGGTTAATTTGGCTCCTGGGCAAAGAAAAGGATTCCGTCCAGAAATTGCCGCGTTTGTCATCCTTACATGGCTTGCCTCTTAATTCGCTCTGCATATTCGAACGTAGAAACTTCTTCAAGCGATCAGAAGGCAATTATCAGGTTACACGTTTTATATTTCAAATATTTAAAAGTCTCATATATGAGACTTACTAATAATTGTATATAGTATAACATATAATGTCGATATTATATGCTACAAGATCAAGTTGTTCCATTTGAGAAATTAGTCGCATTTGCAATTTTTTAGAAGCGACGACATCTACGACATGACTGATCGGAATCATATGTCCCCTCTCGAACCAAACAACTTTTGTCTGAAGTATTTTTTCCTACAATCAAAAGTAAAAAACAAAAATAAAAAAGTTTCTTGGAGTGATAGATTAAAATGGGACACCCTGTATATATTATATACAACCCTTTATACTTAAAATTCTATTTTTTTTTTCATTTTCCCCAGCCTTTATTCCTTTAGAAATATACGTGTCATTAGAAATGTTACTCAAAGGAATATTTCCTTTGCAGAGGAGCAATATGTTATCGGTGTTGGAAATGCTGAACGAGCCGAGCGTAGATCCAAAGATACGGAGATCCGCGTTAGTGCAAATTAGTGTGATGCTTTCCGATACATCGTTGCACAAATTGTTCATCGATCAAGGCGGATTATCCCTGGTTTTGGATATTTTCAGTCGAGCCCTGGTAAGGTGTGCTACCACTGCGAAAGCAATTAAGTTTCTTACTTGACTTCAAGACGGTATTATTTGTAGGTGGAGAAGGATTACGTGAATTATCCGGATTCTGTGATACCGATAATCGGCATATTAAAGCAACTCGCCTTTTTCGAGTGCTCGGTACGATACGAACTGTCTATTCAGATCGACATTCTCTTCAATATCATAAGAAGTATGTGTACTTCATTGTATCTTTGCTGCAAATACTAAAATCAACATTTCAAAACGATCTAATGTTCTTTGTTTATTGGAAACTCATTGTATTTACAGGTCTCTTCCTGTTCCCAAACAACGAATACGTGAAATCTGACGGCGCGCAACTGCTGTGCCTGATTCTGTACAACGAGTACGTTGTGAAAGTCAACGGGAAGGACACGGAGAACGGCGTTACTTCGCACATCTCGCTGCCCCGTATCGTTCTGACGAACATGAAACTGCCGTTCGCCTGCAGATCCCATTGGAAGACCAGTATACACAGGCGATCCAACATGTCGTGTGAGTAACTTTTCGACTGCATTCGTGATAAAGGTGTCCCGATCGGAAGCTGCGAAATCGGCAATTCAAACGAAGCGTCTGTCTTTTCATTTTGTTTCACAGTACTTCACGGCAGCGATCCGGTAGCGCTGACTTTTATCCGACAGTATTGGGCGTGGGAGTGGAACGACGGCGCGGACATGTTGTGGAAATCTTTCGAGGACGCGGACGACCCCGAAATCGCGCGGAAACTGATGATCCTCGAGAGCGATTTTCTCTCCTTGCGCCACAGCTTCCTTCAGTACTGCTGCCAGCAGCAGCTCTACAACATCCAAAACTCCACTACGCACTATAACGTGATATGTGCGTTAGATTACCTCACGATGTAAGCTTTCATTATTATTGTTGATGATTATCGTTACTACTAACGTTACTGTTATTAACGTTCATTGATTCATCCGTTCAAACCAATTGGTCTTATTATCGGCCTGTTTTAGGTACCTGAGATTTTACAAAGCGGTCGCACGCGACGACGAGAAAGACGTCGACTCGTTGCCATGGCAGCAGACGTTCGAACGATTTCTGTCTTCGCATCCCTCGAGTAAAGAGGATTGCGACCTGTTCGTGGATGTTCTGATCTTTTTACAATTGTACCTAAATGTCGCGAAGAGCGGTAAGATGATCTCATCAGAGATCAAGGGGATAAAGAACTCCCGTTTTCCTCGCCGCAGCCATCTTGATTAATGAGGACGTCAGAAACGATAAATCGTATGTTTAAAGCGGGATTTACAATGAGAATTTGAACTCTAAGCCTTAAAAAATTTACCGATCACAGTCGTATATGAGAATAATCGGTTGTAATTAGTCAATTTCTTAATGTTTAGAGTTTAAATTCTCATTGTAAACCCCGCTTAAGATTCTTGCGAAGCGCGTTGATAGAAAATAATATGACCATAAATATAATGATATAACTTATGATAGACTCGCTAAATATCCCGAGAACTTTCACATTTCGCGAGAATTTTGGAGTGTATATTTTCTCGCTTCTGGTGTCGTTAGACAAGACAACTGCAATATGGGACCGATGAGAGCCTTAAGATATATTTCGTTTCTTCGGCAAGAAATATAATAAGAGGACGCTAAATTCTTCTCCGATGTTCGCAGGGAAAAGCTCGTGGGTTGGTAATATCATGAAAAACATGACGAGGTCATTGGCGGATCTGTTTAAGAATTTGGAAATTGACAATCAAGACGTACACCAGTCGATACTGAAATTAGTGCGCACGTGTTCGGCGACCGAGAAGTCGGACGACAAGTCCAACGACGAGCTCAAGACTACGTGGATCCGATTCGTAGAGTTCGTCGTTTCGACGTTGTGCTTCGGCGACCAGCAACATTTCTACAATCTCGGTTGGTATCCGTTCTCGAATCCCTACTGTTTGAACGCCAATAATATATCGGTCCTCACGTTTATTTACACGTCCAATTGTGAGAAGAATTATGGCGCCCGAATTATCCTTTCTTTTTTCTTTTCTTTCTCTCTTCATTATAGCCTATCTTGATTGGTTGCTAACATGTTTGACGTATTTGATCGGACAGTGCGAGTGGAAAAATCATAGGAACCTATTGGTATCTCTTTGCAACACCCTCATAGAATTGATTATATCGTTTCATGGCGCCGGCACGGTCAGTTTCATGGGTCTGTCGATAACGAGGAACTCGATAATATGTCTCAATCACTCGTTACACCAGATGCAGGTGAATTTTAACAAAAGCGTAAGTACTTCTCAATTGTATCAAGTGTCTTGGTATGTGTTATTATTAGGGGTCCTCATAAGTAACATCGCTTTTTGATACTTGTACAAAATTTTATTTTACTTAACATTTAGTTCTTTCACAAATCTCACAATAAACACACTAAATGTCAATAATTTAATTAATATATAGATTATGTAATAATAAATCAAGGACAAGGTGGCGACATTTAATCAATATGAAATGAACGACATTACCGATACCATTCGTCATTACGATCGTCCTCAATGCGAATTTCTGTCGAATGGTTGCAGTCGTGGATAGTGTTTTGGTACGAAGAAGGCCGATCGTTGAACTGGTTGCCCATGCTGTGGCAAAACCGGGACCCGTTGGTTCGCGCCTCGGCCTTTCAGTTATTGGCGGGCCTGATGAGTACACTGCACATCGCGTCGCAACTTCTCAACGCGATCGCGATGGCCCCGAGCGATCTCTGCCACACGTTGCTCCAATGCATCACAAACCGCGAGGAGTCCTGCTTGGTGAGGGAACAAGCGTGCATCGCGTTCTGCAACATGCTGAAGAACTCCGTGGCCTTCCAATGTGTAAGCGAACACATTGTCCGCTCGGACAACGTCGAACGACGTCAGAAGCGAGAAAACCTTTGCCCGAAATTCTTGCAGTATACGATGATATAAAAAGATATATCTTTAAAATAGTACTTGCGATTGAGCATATTTGTAAAATATGTAGCAAACTTTCCTTTTGCTTTAACAATCGACGCATGGCTGTAAAGTTAACAGAGTCGTGAGGAAAGAAAGATCGTCGCGTTAATTTCATTTTTATTTATTGATCGTTCGAGTGAAAGTTCTCGGGATATTTCACAAATGCGCTCGATCGATCGCATATGTCGATCTTCGTCCTTTCACTTCAACGTTCATCTTGCAAGAATTCTGGATCCTCATGCGTTTCCTCGTTTCCGACGTCATCAAGTAAGACGAGGATTGCAATCACGAGAGATGACAGAGGACGATCTCTTTACGCGCAGGAGGACTCTTTGCAAGCGCAGGCTATCCTGATATACGTCGAGCAGTGCAACACCTATCACGAAGTCAGCGTTCTCTGCGCCAATGTCTACACGTTGACCACGTTGGACGCCGAGCAGTCCGACTGTCAGGGGAACGACGGCAAGGCAACCTCCGTGCGAAGCGTGCAATCTGGTTGCATTTCGCTGGTACCGCGCATCGTGTCCCATCTGTACAATTGTCAGGACGAATTGCAGCCCTGTAATTACCACGTCGTTCCATTTGTACGCCTGTATTTTTCCGAATTATTATACATTTGCGCAATTGACCCATCCCGTTGTCTTTCAGTTTCCGTCCGGGACTCGGAGATAACGGACGTGGACGCTTGTATGCAGCTTATCGCGACGCCCTCGCTCATTGCAACCGCTTGCGCCCTGTTGAACAACTTGATATTCGTCGGACAGCACGAGGTAGTCGCGCAAATCTACGAACATTCCATCGATAAATATTTATTCGGGTATGTGTATTACGTACATATTTATGATAATTGTCCAGGGTTGGGTAAGTTAATTATGCAAAATCATGTGTACATGTGTATGTTATGTGCGTAAATAACATTTTCATTGGTGGATGAATCTCGTGTGAAATAGCGAAAAGATAATTTGTTATAATAAAATGTCGATCATTTATCGATTGTTTCGCGTTCAGGCGTTCATACAGAAGAAAAAAAAAATACTAGCGCTCAAAGAAACGAAAAAAAATCTGCTGGCATTTATCATTTTTTTCATTCTCTGCTGTAAAGCAGCTCGTAGTGACTATAAAATATTGAGAGTATCACGCCTGATTTTGATCTGGGAGTTCACACTTATTCCTTAAGATTTCCTGTGCGATGAAACGGACTTCCAAATAGTTAATCTACCTATATCGATCCATTTTAAATGTTTGATTGCTTTTAACCCGCGAGGGGCGGATCCGATTTGACGCCAAAACAAGCTGAAGGAATTATTTTCTGCCGGAACGCTAGAATCCTTCCCTCTTCAGCACCTTCGCGCGTCACCCTTATCCGCGTATCGTGAGCACGTATATATTCCTAGAATCACGTGTACGAGAATTTCCGACCGGTTTTTGCCGGTCGGGAAAACCACGTGGCATTTCTCGTGAATTAATGTATCATTTCAATACTCGGAATAAGAACGTAATTACCTGTAAATTATAGTGTAATTACCTGTAAAAATGTCATATCTACCTTACATGCTGAAGTAAACAACTGATGTATGATAAGAACAAAACTGATATTTTTCTCGAATTTAAATGAGCAAGAATCATTTATTCTTTATACAACCCGCCAAACATTCGCGGCCCTCCGAACGTGTTGTTTGACACACGTTCGCGCTACGTTCAACGTCACATGTGCGCGGCATTGATAATTTTTCTTATTACTATATCCACTTGAGCAAACTAAAGTTTCTTGCATAAGAACGAATACAACGCGGTCTGCCAGGCGAGTTCCGCAAATAAATCGTGGTAGAGAACACGTTATATACACCTATAATCTGCAAAGAATCTTATTTTACTTGTGATACATTACCTTTCTCACCCCGTCTCGTCGAAGGTGTCTGGCTGAGATACCCAAAGATGTCGGAAGCCGGCGGAGCTTGAGCCACTACTCCGACACGCTGGAAATGTACATTAACATCTGCACGGTCCTCACCAACTGCATCACTCACAGCAACCAGTACACAGCCGTGGTTCTCTTCTCCGCGGACTCGCTTTACACCTTGTTTTGTCTTCTCGACGTCGATCTCTACCGTACGTATCGCCAGCTCACTCGGTTAGTCCTAAAACGATATCTTCCAATTCGTTGGTTGATCAATCGGTAGAGTCAACCGAGCCGCGGCTGGTGCACCTGCGCAACCGGCTGTGGACAGAGATCTACAACTTCGTGGCCGTGCTCTCATTGACCGAAGACCAGCACTTGGAGGCCGTCCAGGGCGCCCTGGAACTGTGCGGCGCTGACACGGTGATGGCTTCCGTATGCTTCGCGATCCAGGACTCGACGACGGATCTCCGAATGAGTGCCATCGGTTGCCTCGCTTTTCTGCTGTCGCAGGAGATTCAGAAAGATCCCCTGGGACGAGGCAGCGTCTCCCTGCGAACGGCGATGGACGACAGCAGCGCGAGGTGGCGCGTCCTCACGGAGGACGCCGAGGACGACGGCATCCTGCGCGACGTGATCTCGAGCGTGAACAAATTGTCGATAAGGGACGCGAGCGTGCACTCGAAAAAGCCGAACGAAAGCGAGAAGGACTCGAGAAGGCCGGACGACAAGGCGGCCGACAGGCGAGAACAGGCCACGATAGGAGGTGAATTGTGCGAGCTTCTGCTGCACCTCTTCATCGCGCACAGTTACGCCAAGTCCAAGAAGAGTTGCCAGCAATCGGAGGACAAGGATCTCATCGTGGGCGCTCTGACCAACCTGCTGTGCGTGTCGCAGGAAGCGAAGCGCACGGCGCTGCGGGGCAATCTGCCCGAGACCGCGCTGATGATCCTGAAGGAGCAGTACGTCAAGCTGAATCTCCAGCCGTTCGAACTTTACAAGAAGCAAGCGGAAAAAAAGGTATATCCGGGGTTTTCCCCGGACTTTCGTGCATATGCATCTCGCGTATAACGGAATTTCCATTGTGGTTTCCCGCGCAATTGCCGTAGCGAAAGAACTGTGTGTTTTCTTCAACGATGTGTAAACACATAGAGCATTCTTCGCTCACCGAGCGAAGCGACAGTTGGAAGCGGAGTGAGAAAGCTGTGTTGATTCTGTTTTCTCACTCTGAGTGCGGTCACTGGTGTGTTCCGAAACGTTCTCTCTTCGGGAGAAATTTTATTCCGGTGGTTGTTCCAAACGTTTTTACAAGCTATTGGTCCTGTCTTCTGAGATTTTGGAACGACCTCTGAATAAACTTTTTCTCTGAAAAAAAAAAATATTTCGGAACATAAGCTTAAAGCTATCAAATATTGTGTGTAAAGTGACTAAAATTAAAAGAAAATAATAAATTATCAGAATTGAAAGAGATAATAATAATTATCAAACTAAAAAGGATAATTAAAAAATAATATAAAAATATATAGATAAAAATGATTTTAAAAAATAAGTAAAATCGTAAATTTTTTATCTGGATGCACAGTATCGATATTTATAATATTTCATATTGATAAATAATTATTAAAATGCACATATCGTTGATTCTCGTCTACCCCGACAGACTCATCCTCTGTTGCACGACATGAACTGCATCTTCATGCTTCTCATGAACTTCATGTACGGAGATACGCGCGTCAAGGAGAGCCTGACGAAGGAGGGTTTAGCGGACGTGGTGCACAAGTTGTGGGCTTGGGTTGCGTTGGATAAAACGGTATCAACGTCCGCCTTGAAACTGCTGGCGACGTTCACGACGAAATGTACTCTTGGTAAGCTCGGCTGACTTAGAACAGAAATCGATCCGACCTTAAGTCGAGTTCAAACTTCCCTCAGACAAAGGTTTAAACTCGGGTCAGAGTTCAGTCGACGTTAGTGAAACTACCGGCAATTGACTGGACGAACTCTCCGTCCGACTTTTTCAGCCGCGCAATCTTTAACGTTAACGACGATATTGCCGGGAAGCGGACTGAGGAAGACGCCGAACACGCTAGCGTTGATACACGTTGTCATGCAGGTGACGTGCAAAGAAATCGACAGAGCCGGCCAGCTCTTCGACAATCACAAGATGCACTTCGCCTTCCATATCCTGCGAAACGCGGTGCATGTGCACGAGTGTAGAGTCTGCATCTCAAAGGTATAATCATTGTGTCCGTTTTGTTTTTCATATGTCTTATACAGGATAAATGTGAGATTTCTACGCCGCAATCACATCTTGATTAATGACATCAAAAGCGAGAAAATATATGCTCTTGCGGAACACGCAGAAGGACACGTCCGTAAAATGATACTTGTGATCGATTAAGTACATCTGTTGAATAATCTGAGAACTTTTCTTTTATTATAACAATAAATCAGTACATAATCATCGTGGAAATTAACGTGATAGAATCACGAGGAAAGATAAGTTAGAAAGAAAGGTCTCGTGTCGTGTTAATTTATTGACTCTCCCGACGAATACGCGCCGTTCCTATAATTATCGGATCGATCGTTGGTTCCCGCGCAGAGTAATCTCCTTCAATTCTTCACCAAAATACATCCCGCCGTGACGAAGCGAGCGAGACCGTGGCCACTGGTGGAGACGTATTGCCTGGAATTCCTGATAGACTTCACTTATTACGAGGAGGGACAGTTGTGTGTGCCGAAGGTAAAGTATGGGCGCGCGTTAATTCCTTAATAAATACGTTAGCGATATTTCAGGCCGTCGACGCATTGGACGTGTTGATCAACTTGGCGAGGTGTTCCTCGTCGTCGAGCAAAGTCCTCGCTGTATCGATACTACGCAATTTGTCGTTCAACATGACGAATAGGCCGCGGCTTCTTAGTTCAGGTGAGCAAACCGGTGCAATTGTATCGAGATGCGATGATAACACGTGCGACGACGCCACGTGACGCCACTTCGCATTCTTCCATCGACTTTTTTCCCACAGTGGACTTCATCAATCTGCTCCACGACATTTTCAAGAACGGCTCGCCCTGCGAGGTCAACCTGGCCGGCTCCATGCTGTGGTCCCTGATCAGCAACAATCAGAAGGGGAAGCTGATCGCGCGGAGCGCCGGCTTCTCGCACAGCATACGGGAGGCTCTCGGTAGATTCACGCTGGTGAGCGTCGACATTACCAAACAGCAGCGGGAACTAGTCAAGGTTTTGCAATACGTACTCACTATCCTCAGCCCGGCCGAAGCGAAAAACAGCGGTACGACCTAGAGCCGACCGACCGACCACGAATGTTGTATATAAATTCTCTCCGACCGACCGGGTTATATATATAGCCGGTGTGCGTAACATGTGTGATGTAATACTCCACACGCACGCACGCATACACACATGATTGATATTAATATATTTTGCAGAGACGTTGAATATATATATATATATATATATATTCGTACGACGTCGATCGTTCGCGACTGAATAAGATAATAGACCTCCCTCGCCATACGCGAGCGCGCGCTCCTCGGATTTCATTTGCAGGCGTTCGACGATTGAAGATAATGCGACTTAATTTCTGCGATGAGCGAAGCGCGAGCGAGCAACACTCTCCCGGTGCGCTGCGAACATTCCGCAGAGACCTGTTCGCGTATCGCTCGTGGATCCGAGAATCCGATCTCACTCGCGCCCGATATTGCGCAAGCAAAGGTTCGGACATAATGAAGAGAATGAGGGAACAAGGAGTTAAATGTGAGGAATTGGAAATTAAATTTCGATATATGGGGTCTATTCTGTATTTTCAATTCACGAGAAAGGAATAAGGAACTAAGATTAAGGGCGTTTTAAGCGGAGTCTACAGTGAGAATTTAAAGCGTAAGAAATTGACCGATCATAAGTGATTTTTCCCTTTATACTTCGCCTCTGTGATTGGTCAGTTTCTTTTAAGCCTTAAATTCTGATTGCAGATCCCGCTTTATTTCTTATAATCTTTAAGGCGCATAGAAATTGACCGATGGTTAAATTTCAAAAATATCCAATGATCATCGATATTCGAGTGAAAGTCAGTTCCGTTCAATTGATAATCATCAAGAGAATAATAGTTCCGTTCAATTGATAATCATCAAGAGAATAATATTAGCGTTGACAGTAGAGATTCATTGGAAAATAGTAGAAGAAAAAAGAAGAATAGTAAGGGAAAACGGTGATCTCGGTTTTATAGTTTCCTATTCTTATTCTCTGTTCCGTGTTTTCAGCTATAGCTTATTTCTAATATCTTTTTCCTAATTCCCCATATTGAATTCCTCCCGGTGTACTGCGAACGATAATATTCCTCGCAGAGGGCAGAATCCTCGGGAGAATTCAATTTTCTCGCACACGAGAGTCGCTTGATATTCATTCCCCTCGATTTCTCGAGAGACAAATTCCTCCTCAGCGAATTATCATCTCACGCGCGGCTCCGATCTTGGAGGCGTGTTCACCGGCTGCACGACGTCGGCCGTTGCATAATGCCGCAGCGTTGCAACACCATTGTGCCATCTGCTGTTAACGCCGTCGGCATTGTTGCGCCGAAGAAGCCATTTGTTCTTTCCTCTCGAGCATTCCTCGGCCGCTCTAAAACCTCGGACGTTCCGTCTGCGACCGGGAGAAGGTCGCGCAGACGGCACGCGGATGATCTTTCGGGAGGCACAATATCCTTCTCCCGGGTGAGGAGTGGTCGGCTGCGTGAGTCGGCATTACATTAGCAAGCCAACAATCGCGTGACGCGTGAAATCTTGTTGCCAAGTCGAGGAATGAGAGACGCGGAAGATCAAACACACGACGATGAGCGGCCCGTGAGATAAGAAGCCCCCTATTTGGCGCTTGGGAGCTCGCAATTGTGAGCGTCACGGTACAGCGATCTGCATTCACGGCTCGTCAAACGTATATAATCGGTCCTTTCCCGGCGAACCAGCTACCGCCTTTTTTTACCTTTAGAGCGCGAAACGATATCTCATCTAAGGAACGAAGCGCGCAACGTTCTTCGGCTAATTGTAAGGAGAAAGAAGGGAGTCGATTGTGTGCGACGACTTTTTTCATCCCATCTGACGAATAAATACGCGCGACTGGCTGGTGCACGTAAAGCGAGAATCCCTTCACCGTTTAATGCCGTTCAAATTACCTGTCGAGCAATCGCACATATATTGCATTTCCATTATAGTGAGAGAATTGTCCGATCACGGGAGAGCTTACTTGTGTAATTCTCGCTATGTTCCGAGATATACAATCGACCTCTCCGCCGAGTCTATTATCGAGAATGCGGATATATGCACCTATTAAGCAGCTAAATGGCTGCGTTCAAAAAACACAAGCGATTAGTCAATGATTTATTGGTTTTTACTGTTAAATCCATAAATTTAGGCCGATTGAACAAATTACTCGACCGTTGTACAACCGTTATGTTTCCCGAACGCAGCCAGTGTTGGCGGAAGATTCGATCAGATCGTACCGTAACAGCCATCTGTATTAGACGTTAAGCTTGTGTTTTGTCGATAGAACCTGCTGACATAACTCGACAGCGGGTCGGCGGCAGAAACCAAGCGGGATTTGTAGCATATCTCATTTCAGTATAAATAGCGACGATACGACAGATCATGTCCGGTCTCTATCGCTAATCATCGTCATGATGTTCTGCTGGCAAGCTATCGGCAAAATCGACAAGCAGACACGCGCGAGTTCTGCAGACTCGGCGAGCATCTCTAGATCCGGTATTCACAGTCGAATCTTATTATACAAGACCGTCTTAAGTTCACGGATGCTATACGACTCATCAGTTACGAAGCATCTGGAGATGAACTCAGATATAAGATTCGAGTGTGAATACCCCGTCGTTGAGAGGAAAAACACGCCACCCTGCGGAGGAGTCGCTCGAGCAAGCGACTTTTAGGTCAGCAAGTACCACGGCGGTATGTACTGGCTGAAGAAAGAAAGCGTCGTCGCATGCGGCGGCGACGACGACATTGACCCAATTAAGAAGTGATAAGAAGCAAAGGATACGCTCTACCGTCGCGTGTGAACGTGCACTATCACGCAGGACTGGAACTAGGTTGGCGCAAGGTCCTTGCTGACGTACCGCGATATGTATATGCATGAAGTTCGTTCTCTCCGTCCTTTCGTCGTCGCGAAATGCCGCGGGTATTTGAAAACCGCGCTCGCTCGCTCACTCGCGAGCGAGCGGAGAAATGCCGGAGAAGCGGACACGAAGAAGTGACAACGAGAGAGAGAGAGGGGCTCGTTGAAAAATCGAAACGCTTAAAAAGGCTTAACACGCCTCGCGTACGAGAGCGTGGTGCGTTCTAATTATAGCCGAGACCTCTCTCGCGCGAATCGCGTCGCCATATGGAGAGCACGAATCGAGCGAGCGGACGGAGAGGAGAGAGAGAGCGAAAAGGGTTAAACGGGAGAGGCTTCGTCGTCGTGGCCAGCGTGGCGCTTCCCGTGGCCGATTGGCATTCAGCGGATCGGCCGGTCCACTGTGGCCATTAATTGCCCATTATATCGTAACGTGGGTGGGCCGCGGAGTGCATACCCACTTCTCTCTCTTTCCGCCTCTCCTCCGGTGTCCTCCGGACACAGCGATGGGAACGACGCTCGGCCGTCGATTTTCCCGAGGCGGCGCTTTCCACCCGAACGATTTTTCCTCCCGAAAGCTCCCCACGGACCTCCTCCTCTAGGAGGGCAGATATTCCGCGGAAATATACGCGCAGCCTTCGTTCCCCATCGCCGACGTCCTCCCCTCGAAAAGGCGAAATCGAAACCTGTTTTCCCGCGCAGTTCCGCCCGTCGTTCTCAAGGCTCGTCGGCTCGGTCCCATCGCTAGCTGTAAACACACACACGGAGAGGCATAGATTTAATGGAATGGTGGAGCGGCGGCGGTAGTCGTCGTCCATCGCGTGTATATTGTGTTCCAGCGGGCGCGCTCACGTGACACTCGGATAGATTTGCGTCAATGGTGACCTCCGCGCGCTCGCTCCGCGGCCACGCATACCGCGCGCGCCGCCTTGCCCCGTGCACGCGTACGCGCGTGGGACCGTACGGCCGCGGTCGAATGAGAGAGAAAGAGAGAGGCGAACGGAGACAAGGCTGGGCTCGTTTTCGACTCTCTTCCTCCGCCTCGCCGGCAATTTTTCGGCGTTAGAACACCGGTCTCCTTGTAAGCTAGCAGATCTCTTCATCGTTTGAGATCGTCGTCAAGTTCGGATTGTTACATTGTGTAGATGCCTAACAGCCAGTGAAACGACCCGTGCGGCATCCGAAGATGATTTTGAGGCGGCCCTTGAAATATATGGCCGATGTTCACGGTCGGGTCGATTCAGATGCTACACGGGTTGTTTCATCGCCTGCGAAGATGAACTCGAGATGAAGACGAACTGCATAAGCCCCTACAATAGATATTTTAAGCCATAAGCCTTAAGAAATTGACCAATCACAGTTAGTTATTCCCGTCACATTCAACTGTGATCGGTCAATTTCATAAAGCTTAAAGCACCTATTGCAGACCGGGACTAAAGGGAGCGGCAAAGTTTCAGGTCGTTCCTTGAGCCATTGAGGTGAATTGAAATGTTCATGAGACGTCGGGGAAGAAATCGACAAATCGGAAGAGTCACATCCGAAGGAAAGCCTTAAGCCATGAGAAACTGACCAGTCACAATCGATGGTTCTCCTCGACATTATTCGACTATAAATAGCTAATGTCTTACGACCTGAAGCTTGCTATTGTGAACATCATTTAACCCGAAAACCCGAGACCAAATTAAATGAACTTGACTGGAGCGATCTTAAATACATCTGACAGAATATTGTTCCCGTGAATACCGGCCGTTTACGAGCGTATCGGCGCCGACTGGGCGTTAGAATCTGTCGTCGCGTCCGTCGAACCTGAGAAACGCGAAATCGCGAAGCTCAAAAATTTCCACGTTCGACAGCGTGGTCTGTTTGTCGTGCCGGTTCGTTAGCGTTTTCGCGCGAGCCACTGTTCCTACGCTGACGCACGAATTTCGAGCCGAGGATTCCGCTGGCAAGAGAGTAGTCGGGTCTCTTGATCGTATTGCCACGCACGTATCCGCGCTTATCGTCGTTCGGGTCGCTTGCGAAAAATTATGCGGGATAAAGGGCGAAAGAGAGAGGGAGAGCATCTATTGTCGTCGTAGGGCATGTCTTCTAATGCACCATCACGATTTCAATCTAATCGGCAATTAACTCAATGAAGTTGACCGATCAGTTCAGCTAATTGGCCAATGCGATTGATCAATTCCGTTAAGTTAATCATCGATTAGATTTAGATCATAACGGTAGAAACGGGCATAAGGATGAAAAAGTAATCGTATACATATTTTAAGCCTGTTCGTTTTAGCTGAACTGGAAGTGCTGCAGTAGAATTTCGTTCCTTTTTCTCTTCAGTGCTAGATTATATACTTGTTTCATTCGAAAGGCAAAAAATATAATCCAGTCCGGCTGAAACGAGGAAACCTATTAATTTGCGAGATGATAGTTGACGTTACAAAATTGAGAAAGGAATGATTAGCTAATAATGAGAGATTTATAATTAGGATTGATTAGGTGGCAAATTTACATAGAAGAGAGATGATCAACATATGCTAAATATATAGCAGTCTCGTAGAGCGAAAATGAATAGCAAAAAGAGGCTGATGGTTTGAATATGAGTCAAGTATTTTTCGAAATGAGAAATTGTCATAAAATTGAATAGAATTCAGTAATATGTGTGAGAGAGAAGGGCAGAATATTGTTGAGAAAAATAAGGGAAATAATGTACGTCGACGTCAATGGATATAATTGTCGAATGGGCGCGGGCGATCGCCGTCCTTTATTCCGTGCGAACGATGCGTCACGTGTACATATGTGCAGTGTCTAAAGTCGCATATCACAGAGAGAGAGAGAGAGAGGGGACAGAATTGATATCGTCTGCCGATTACCCGCTCGGTCGTTTCTATACATGGTGCGTAAATAATATTGCAAATAACTCGCACGCGTTACATTGTCCGCATCGCGTCTCTCTATGCTTTTGCGATTGCGAGCAGAACGCTGGCTTATTGTTATTATTATTATTCTCGCGTGCGTATGCGCGTCGTCCGCCGAGATTCACCCGAGATCTCCGATCAGCCTGCGGCCGATGTAGCCCGGGAATCCGACTGGGTATAATCAGCGATTGTAAATTCAACGGACACCGGGATCCCTACCGGGCAACCTGTTCCGATCCGGCGCCGAGCTTTATTTTTAAACGTCTTCGATGCAATACGATCCGTCTTCCCCCTTCTCTCATTAAATTGCTAATCGCGCACGAAGATGTTAACGGCTCGTAGAAATAACAAGAGAGAGAGAGAGAGAGAGAGAGAGAGAGAGAGAGATGTACGTGGGAATTGTGAAACTGACGACGTTGTCCGCATTGACGCGCGGTCGTTTGTCAAAAAATCTGCTCACCCCGGGTACGTCGTTGTTGAGGCCTATTTTCGCGCGTAAGCAAAGGGGAACATCGCAATCGTGCGTTGCAGCAGTTTTCCGTCGCGCGGACGCAATTAGATAACGAAGTGAGAGGAAGCGAAGGCAGGAAAGAAGATAAATTCACCCATCACGCGATAAAACAACTCTATCGAGACGAGCGAGAAGGTACTGCGTATTTTACGGTTGGCCGCGACTTCCGGCGAGCGGTAGTCGCAAATTACGAATTACCTCATCATATTTTTCCGATATGAACGTGTACGACGAACAAGTAGACACATATCGAACTAATCCATCAGCGTCATCGGGTCAGCAACATAAACTCGAATCGGTAATTATTGTTGCAGTTAATTATGAAACAGTCGTCATCGGATGTTCGCGCGATGTCCTTTTCTGAAAAAATACGCCGTTCGCTAGATTAGATTTTACTGAATCTGCAAATTACCTTGCTGTAGGGACAAATTAGTAAATGTAGGAGAACACTATTTTCTTCTAACGACCAATTAACATGTCCTAAGGGGAAAAATGTACTCGGCAGAATATTTTTTATCCTCTATTTTATGTCCTTTGTAGCGCGAAACGGTGCCTCGATACGGTGCGATACGGCATATAACTCGGCCAAGTCTTTACGAAACATTTTGAAAAAATGTATATTTTTTTAATTAAGTGTTTATAAAAATGTTCTCCTAAGACTTCAATTTCATCGGAATTACAGTTTTCTCTAAAAAAAAAAAAAAATCCTAAATTTATCTCATTTCTTAGCACCAGGATACCCCCTTAAGCAGACCAGTATCGATAAATGATTCTTCTCTCAAGATCGATATTTAATATTCGTCATCTTTCCGTTTTTTTCGTGTGCGTTTATAATCGAAGATCGATTTTGATAGTGACTGGCTACTGATAAGTGATAATTCACCAGCTTATCAAACTCTCTTGCGAGGTGTCACCACGCATGGACACAGGCAACAGGTTTGTGCCAAATTTTCACCTAATGTTTGCTTAATTTATTATCTACACATTTTTCAGACGGTCCTGAATTTGCTCAGTAAGATTAAGATCTCCATTTTCAAATATCTCGCACCATATTCGTATGAAATAATTCATACGGGAAAAAGATGCTACTGAAGCTGCTGAAATGATACAACGCACACGGAAAAGATAACGCGATAACATTCTACGTGATATCGCACCTTTTCCGTGTGCAATATATATCATTTTAGAAGCTCAAATCACAATCGGTTATTCTCCTTACATTCCACTGTGATTGGTCAATATCTTAAGGCTTAAAAACTTCACCTATTATAAACCGGAACTTCGAGTTTCTCAGTTGAATCGCACAACATACGCGTTATATTTGCAATATTTGCACAATTTCACTGAAAAACATTTTGAATCAAGTATGAGTATCCCACCTGAGTTTCAAGTAACATTATCATTATTAATATAGACTATGGATTTTCAGAGTTTCTCTCGGATCTCTTCCCTATATTTTATTATTCAAAGGAGTTCGACGATCGCTTCACTTCGGACCTCCACTTTCGCTCTCGAAGCCGCGTCGAATCCTTCGTCGTTTACGCTTTCGTCGATGCCGCTAAAGGAAGAAGAATGCTTCAGCAGGATCGGTCGAAGACTTTATTTGAAGCTTCGGTGCAACATTCGTGACACAAGACACACATTTGCCGGCACGCTTGTCGGACATTGTTATCATCATTGTCGGTAGCAACGTGCGCGTGGGCGCGCGTACGTCCAAGGGCGAAGAGCCGAGCGGCGAAATCGCGCTCGATTAACGTTAAGAGGAAGCAGTCTCGTTAAAGATGCTTTGTTAAATTACCTGGACGAACGTCGGCTCGGAGGAAAGTTGCGGGAAGTGTCAGCGCGGTCACCATCGTTACGCACGTCACGCCGTCAAGCTTTCGCTCGTCAACTTGCCTATGTGTGTATACATTATGCGATAGTTGAACGTATATACACATACACACACACAGTCAGCAGATTAAAGGTCGCAACACTTTTTTCGCCGGCTTTCGCAATGAATTTTATATTCAATAAGAAAATGCATCTTCTGAGTATTGCTAAATAAACAGATTCTTCTATTGAATGCGTTGCGAAATTTATCGAAAAAGAAAAAATATTACAACTTTTAATCTGTCAATTATGTATGTGTGTATATGGAAAAAAAGCTCTCAGTTTCTGTAACTGAATAAGAGCTAGATAAAAATTCGGCGACAAGAAGCGATATCTCTGTTATCACGACTGAAAGTGTTCGTGTGAACATTCAGCTGAGAACAACCGAACACTCGATTAAAATAACTGAAAGCAATTGACCGAGCATAGTCAGTCACAAAAAGATTGCAGTACTTTTTTCCGATAAATTTCGCAACGCATCTCGTTTCCAATAGGAAAATATTTCTCTTGAGAATTACTGAAAGACAAATTTTCTTATTGTGTACGAGATGTGTTCCTAAGCTTATCAAAAAAGTTTCAAACTTTTTGCGGCCATACAACTAAATTCCTCTCCTAGAAATTTTTCATATCTGGTTCACAGGCAATGAAACATTCAGTCACACCGATGGAATTGTTTTTTCCCGGATATGGGGAAAAAAATGTCAGTTCCTGCGACTGAATAGAGACCGAATGAAAACTCGCTAACAAGAAATATTTCTGTTATCGCGAAAATGTTGCTGTGTACATTCAGCTGCATCGAAACTCGATCGAGACAGGATTATGAGGGGTGAGAGCGATTGACCGAGCAGAAATCCCTCCTACAGAACAATCTTTCTGTTCCTACAGCCGCGTTTTCGTCTAATTCGACAAAAAATTCGTTAGGTACACTACAGCGGGGAGTTGTTTTTTTTTTCCGTGCATCAACTCCGATAGCGAGTGCCACAGCGGCCGGACACACGTGTTTCATTGTGTATTCTCTCACGGAGAGAAACGAGTGCGAGAGAGCGACATATATATTTTTAATAACGACGTCACTGCCGATCATTCTATTTTTAACGGTCCTTTTTCATTTTCAAGCAGTCGTCGCGGCATGCACAACGACGTCTGTAATGAGCAAATTTTCCGTATCGGGTGACGCCAATAGGCTCGTAAACACCGATATGGATGCATGGCGACGCAGTGTTTTGAACTATCGCTACCGCGCGATACCTTGCGTGGACGAAACTCGCGCGCGCGCCAGATTATTCTCGCGTCACACGAATCGCGCTGACGGACGAATTCAAATATTTCAGGTGGCTCTCACGAAAATCACGATAGTGTCTTATTGACACTAGAAACGTTATCAAGACGTAATTGTCATTTGATGTCACCTTGTTACTCAGAGAATTTCCTCGTCATTTTGACGTCATCGATATTTCGTTATCGTCATTTTCTATTCTATGTCCTAAATCTCTGTCCAATTAATTTTACGTTTATTTTATTAATTGTTAGGAGTACTTTACAAGTGTGCTGAATCGATAACAAAATGTCATTTTGTAGATATATCTTCTTACTTGAACGTTTATATCGCAAGAATTCTCGGCACGCGTTTTCTAACTTCTGACGTCATCAAACAAGATGACTGCAGCGTGAAACGAAAGAGCCTTAAGACTCCAGACGCAAGACAATTATCGTGTTACTTAAGACAAAGACTTAAGGCATGGTTGTCTGATAAGTCGAGCATTCTATTAAGGTCCTCAGCAGAATGGTTGACTTATGTAATTTTAAGATTCCATTTGATTTTATGATCCAAGTCTTTATTTAAATTATCATTTATTTATTTATTTTTATTATACGATGCGGTTTGTCATCGACCAAAACGGCTCTCTAATTTGAAAATACAAGACAGTCATTGTGCGTTATTTAAAAACGAAGACTCAAGGCATAAAACACTCGTCTTAAACCGATAAGTCAGCCATTCTGCTAAGGGGCGAGAGGGAGCCTAAGACCCTAAAATCTCACTACATTTAGTGTAAATCTAGCTTTGGTATCATCTCGATGTGTTCCTCGTAGAGACGCGCGAAGACACGCAAGATTGTACATCAGTCAAACGGTGACAGGCGCACCTCAGGCGTTCTCGTTGCGATGTATATTTCGCGGTCGATCACCCCTGCCGGTTTCCCGCAAGTCGGCGCAGCTGACGATAAAAGCGATCGTCACGTTTTCCGCGACGCCGGGAATAAGAATCAGCCCGTGTTCATCCTGGCGAAAATGGAGAAGCGCAAGCTGGCGCGTCGGCGCACCGTGTGCGCCCGCGGATTTTCATCAGAAACGACGTCCGTGCACTCATTCAATTCGAATGCTCGCGTGCTCGACGCGGTTCCTGGAACGCGATATTGTAACGTCGCTTCGAGGAAGGTCGTTTGAATCACGAATTTCATCGTCGATGCGCGATCTCGGGGAAGCGGATGAACGAAAGGAGGAGGCTACTTGACACATGTCACCCACGTGTCTGCTCTCCCGAATTAACCGGCGAAATCGACGCGCGCGCGTGTGTCTCAGCCTCACGGAGAAAAAAAGTTTACTTGAATTAGCGTGACAATGAACGAATTAAGAGGCGTTTTAAGAGGGTGGAAGGAAACAGAATTTCTTTCTATGAAGCGAATCCGAGCCTTAAAGTTCCTCCGTGCTCGTCGCAGCCACTTTGTTTGATTGTTATGACGATCGAACAATTAATAAACAATTGTAAAGTTAGATCTATCCTTTTTCGAAATGCACTAGCTTGTACTAGTTCTGTTTTCCTTTTTCTTCCACCAAATCTTAACTGTACTTATCTGTCACTTTTTATGTTCTATAAGTGTATGCTCCCATACAACACGAGTAAATCCTGAGAATGTTCCACGAATATCGTAGAAGTATATCGCATATATTCTCAGAATATTCGAGATATATGCCAAATGTACGGAGAACATACTGAAAATATACGTAACATACTGAGAATATCATGCCCTAAAAGCTTCTGTATCCTGAGAATGTTGTAGGGATGTTCTTAGTATGTTGCGTGTATTCGCAGTATATAAGAATAATATATACGAGTGTTATCATGTCTGGGCTAGTTCAGTGAAAAAGAACAGACTTATTGTAACGCAATCGTGAGGACAAATAAATTAAGAAGGAAGATTGCATGTCGTGTTAATTTTATGGTTATTTCCTGATAAAGTTGGAGCAAGAAAAAGAGATTCGGAGTACTTTATAAGCCGGATAGAAATTTAAATTAAAATGGAAGTTGAAAAAGACTCTGCTCAATCTTTCCCCACTTCTACCTGCACAGAAATGTAACCGCTCGTACAATTTAAGGTCAGTTTAGTAAATCTATCTAACTAGGCCCCGACCGGGCCTTATGAACCACAGGCCTTGTTAGCGGCATCCAGGTCAGTGTCTATTCACGAAATCCCGTTCAGAATTTGGCCTTTCTGGGCCAACGAAGACAGGCCTACTTTAGGGCATGCCTACCTAGGGTCGCTACAAAGTGGGACACGTCAATTAATCCCGTGAAATAAGCCTTACATTTTCCAAGTAAATTTTTCAGATTTTTTTTCCTCAATGCGCCGTCACGGTTCAAGTGTAATCAACTCGACGGAATTAACCAATCGTATCGATCAGTTCAGCAAATCGAGCAATGCGATTGGTCAGTTCCGTTGATCACCGGTGAAACCGTGACAGTAAAAACGGAGCGGATTCGAGCGAACTTCTTTCTCCGCGCCGCCGAGGCGTTTCTCTCGCTCGCTTGTGACGTGGAAGTGGCGCGCGCGCGTTTCTAATTTCCGAAAATTGAGCGAAGCGACCGTAAAAACCGGCCGCGGATAGCCGACTTTCTCCCCGATAATGCGTGCGCGACTTACGTCAACGCGCGTATCGAAAGCACCACCGATGACCGGAATTGCGCGCGCGCGAGATAGCGAAACATTAATCAGCGCAGCCGAGGAATCGAACAACGAGCGGCCCGGTGGACGAGGCCCACTTTCAGACGCGATTCACGATGATTCCGCACGTGGCGGAAGCGGCTCCCGCGAACGGTTCTTTCCCGAAAAGAGAAAAAGAAAGGAAGAACGAAAGAAAGAAGAAACCGAATGTGGGACACGCCGCCCGTTCCGTTTCACGCTTCCGCGCACGTCTCTCCTAATAGGATCTGTCCTGATTCACTGCGAATCGCGGAACCGGAAGTGAGTCAGCGACGCACTCGATCTCCGACACGCGGATTCCGAAAAGCCATCGGTCCTCACGGGCGATAAATTGATTTGCGTCAAATCTACCAAGCGAGAATATCCGGTACACACCATCGATTCATTCGTCCGTCGGACATTCTGCGGAGGGCTGATTCATCGCACGGGGGGGAGAAACGGGTTGGCTTTTCAAGGGAATAACAAATAACGCGACGGCGGGCGCGTAGAATCGACGCGGCTCGACGCAACGTTTTTGAAAACGCGCGCATGTACAGCGACAACCGGGGTAGGGGGTAACCTCCTCTCTCCCTCTCTCTGGCGCGCGAATCGCCATTCCAGTTGCAATCTAAATTCGCGACAGATAACGGTATCAACGGCGCCTTTAATTGAAAGCGGATTGACGTAAACGCGCGCGCACAATTACGTCGATCAGTTATTACCGAACAAGATAGAGAGGAGCCAATCGACCGCTGTTCCGAACGTGCAAAAAATATGCAGGTACTTTTTTTTCTCCCGAAACCGAAGAGAGGGACGACAGGCAGCGGGCGCACTCACGGTCGAGCGCGCGAAAAAAGGGGGCTATTTATCTCGCAAAGAGAGAGAGAGAGCCTCTCCTAACCGCAAATTGCCGACGACTTACGCTCCGTTGCGTACCCGACGGGCTTGGTGGCCCCCCGGATCTCGGGGGTAGGGAGAAAACTCACCGATAAAACTACATTCGCCGTCTCTGGTCGCTCAGTGTCGCTCGGTTGTACACGGACGCATCGCGCGGTGACGTAGCGGCGACGACGTACGGTAGAGAGGAACGTCGTCCCGTTGCATAGCGCGCGCGCGCGCACAACAGTGAAGTTGCACGCAGAAGCCGTTCGAACGAGAGAGAGCGAGCGAGCTGACGTTGGCGTGGTGCGGCGAGAGGAGGAGGAAACGACGGCACAAAACGAGCGAGAAAGAAAGATATGAGGCCGTGTTGGCGGAAGAGAGACGCGGCAAGCACGGAGCCGCGGTGAGCGGAAGGATAGGAGTCGGTCGGTACGAAGGCGACAGCGCTATAACGGAAGTGAGAGAAGAAACGACGCGACCGACGAAGTACGGGGGAAGAAGAGCGCAACGCCTCGTGACCAATCGGTGCGCGTCTCGCGTCAACGGTACGCGGACTGCGCGGCGCCCCATTCGTCAACTCTGTAGCTCCTGCGCCGGTCGGCTCGCCCGGCAGAGGTTAGGTTTGACGCACGGCAGCGAACGGTCCTTCGTTCGTCTTTGCGTGTCCACGCGCGCGAGAGAGGGAGAGAGATAAGTGCCGTTTCTCTCTCTATCTTTCTCTTGCCGCACCGAGTAGTCGCGCGTGCATCGACATTGTGTGTTGCTCGCTACAAACGGATGAATGATGTCAAGCAGCGTGTGCCACGCGCCTCTGCCAGCACGAATGGAAGCGTTCACCACGAGGTTCTGTCTGCGTGCGGTCGACCAATATGAGCGGCTTCTGCAGACTCGCTTCAACAAGGTACGCGCAACCATCCACCCACCCGCTCATCCGCCACGGCCGGATAGCGGGTCTCTCGCGCCGGACTTCACTTATCTGCGTGAGCTCGCATTTCTCTCGCGCTTTTCCTGAAAGGCGTCAATGCCGAGGACGCTTTTCAGGACGACAATCGGCGAGAAGGAAATGAGAGGGAGAGAAGCACTTACGGTGCGCGGAAATTTCGGTCCGTTCTTTTTAGCCGAACTGGCTGCGTGTGAAGCGCGCGTGTATGTGCGAGATTATATTATCGTGCTGCAGTGTGTTAATTTCTCAAACTAGCGCGGCCACAATTCAGGTGTAAAGAACGGATCGACTACGTAATTCGGCGACGTTACAAACGACATCGTCGTCGTCGCGACGGCGAACGACGGCGGAATGGAATGCGAAATATGTGTAAATATTAATATAAACGAAAGTCACGCACGCACACACGCGCGTGCGTGTACGCTACATACACACGCAGCTGTGTGTATTTACTTTAGATTCGTGCGACGGTAACGCTCAAGTATCGTTTAACGAGCTTCTCGTCGGGGAACCGCCACCCTTTCCTTGACGCTCAACCGGGTAACTCCTATCCGGGCCGCGACGGAGGAGAAGTCAAGGCTCAAGTGTGCCATGCCTGCGATCGGAATAATTCTCAACCTACCCGGTTTCCAACGGAAGATCATTGACCCGCTGCATACGCACCCCACTTAGCGCTACGCTACGCGTCCATGATTCTATCTCATTCCATGCCGAACGTGCATCTATCGTAGACCTGTTCTTTTCAGTCGCGCGCGCGCGTTAACGTTAGTCCACAATAGGTGTAGTAAGCGTTTTGCGCCTCGAGCGATGTGTACGTAAAGTTTGGTCCACAATGTGCTCTTTGCGTCGCTTGTTTCTTACTCACTGTCTCTCTTCCGTAAGAACTTCTGTTTACTTATGAAAAAGAAATAACAAGACGCAAGGAGTATATTGTAGATCAGGCTTAATTCCTGACGAAAGGTGTTTTCCGCGCTGTCAAGGGTCGCAGTAACGCTTGAATCTTGAAGGAATTGTGACGTCCGGCAGTGCTGGAAGCGCTTTTCACTAGAAATTACGTTATGATTTAGTGCAAAAGGTTATTTTACACCTGTCGTGGATCCGGACTGGCATAATTTATGACAGAAAACGTTTCTCACGTCGCTAAAAATTGCAATGGCACTTGGAGTCTTGTGAATTACGACGCCTGATGACGTTTGAAGTGTTTTTTGCTGGGAGTAACGTTACAATTAAGTGCCTAGAGCTAAAGGCTAAAGGTTTACTTACTTCGTTCATAATCTCGCTTTGAAACGTAAGCAGTAACCAAATTGACCAACCACGGTCGTTCATTAGAAAGATAATCGATCGTGGTTGGTTAATTTGTATATTGCTTACGTCTTAGAGCAAGATTGTGAAAAAGGGGTTATAGAATCCGGACTTACGTCCTCGTTCTAGAAACGAAACGAATGTATATCTGTTCGAAAATTTCATACGGCCGCACGGGCGAGAGAAGCAAAATTGGAATGAGGTGCGATGCTGAGAGAAACAGATTCTATGAATACAAGATCTCCGTTCCTTTCAGCTAAAGCGAGTTGCATTTTTAGCCCTTATAGTCCGAATAAGTTCGTGTAAGTCTTTAGCCTTTTGCTCTGAGCAATTAGATGTAATGTAATATTTGACGAAAGGCGTTGCCAAAAGTCGTGATAGCGCTTAAATCTTAGGAACTGTGGCGTCTAGAAACGCTTATTGCTGGAAACTACGATATACTGAAAGAAAAAAAAGTGCTGCATTCAAGTAAATATTTGCTCAGATCCGTATCAGACTATGGATTATAGATTACAATCAGACCAATCAGGTGATCTGATCATATCTTGCTTTTTATTTATCTGATTATAATCCTTAATCCATGGTCTGATACAGCTCTAAGGAGTATTGGAATAATTATTTTACTTAGATTCAGTAATATTACTTGGATGTAACTGAAAGAAAAAAAAGCGCCACGTTCAAGCGATATTTACTTAGTCCAAGTAAAATAACTACTCCAATACACTTTAACAAATATTTCTTTGGATCTAGCGCTTCGAGCAAAAAGTTTTTACTGCGCCTGTAAATATAGAAACAGCCTAAAGCAGGATCTGCAATGAGAATTTAAAGCGTAAGCCTTAAGAAATTAACCGATTGCAGTCGAATATGAGGAGAATAATCGACTGTGATTGGTCATTTTCTTAAGACTTACGCCGTAAATTCTCATCGTAGATTCCGCTTTACAGTTACACAAGTACATAATTTTGCGTTGAAGAGAAAAGGAACCAAGTTGCCGATGCAACTGCTGGTTAAACTGAAAAAAAAAAAAAAGATAGGCGTCTGCAAACTGAAAAACGAGTTTGGTTGGATTTATTTGACAATGGACGATAGAATTTTCTATTATGAGAACCAAATTTAATTTGTGAAAACCAGGAATTCTGTTTTCTTCAACTGAAACGCGTTTGGTCGTCCATTGTTAAACAGAGATCCGACCAAACTCATTTTCAACATTTTTCAGTGCGGGAGACAAAAAGATATCTCAAGATACGTATCGACGCGAGATGACCATAATCGCGCGGACGCATAATCGGCAAGTAAACAGCTTAATTCTTTTTGCGTAACACACGTGTCTCTCGCGCGCGCGTATAATTTTCACGACGAGAGAGAGAGACGCAAGTCGGTGCAACAGGAGGTCGTTCGAGTCTCTCAGTAACGTATCTGGTCATTCTTTCTCGCGACTTTCCAACTTCGCTTTCCTCCTCCTTCCTCAGGATCCTTGCGAATTCGCCGCGTCCTTTCCAACGTTTATCTCACAATCTTATCTTACGATATCGGAAAAGGCGGATGCACACGATCGTCGAGTGGAGGATATAAATAACACTCCCGAGCGGAGTAACTAATCGTGATACGACGGCAGGACCTTGATACAGGAGGATACGTGTGAAAAATAACGAGAGATTTTCCTGTTACGATGCACGCGCCATCACCACCCACTATTATCATCACCACCACCGGTTATGCAGTGTAGTCGTCGTTTCGACGATGTCTCAAGCTCATCAATAATAATAAGCGCTTGCCGCGCGCGTGCCGCGGATTTGTTTTCGACGTGACGTAAAAAGAAAAAAGAAAACAGGATGAGAGGAACGCGCAACCGACTATTAACATGCCATCATTACCAGTAATAATTAATTAGGATTCAGTTACCATTTCCTGAGCATATTTCATCCATCAAATGAGACAACAAAATAACAAATTAGTCACACACACACTCTCTCTCTCTCTCTCTCTCTTCGTCTCTTAAGATTCGACAATTTCATGAGACGACGTCGTTCGTCTCGCCGGAGGGGGGATTAAACGCACGCGCAACCTAGTTCCAGCGAGACTTCCTCGGCGATGCCTTACAATTTCGCGGAGCGATACGCGACTGTGCGAGATCGCTCGAGGCGCACGGTGACACAGTTTTAAGCGCGGATACACTTGTTACTGAGCCGCCGCCGGTGTGTGTGCGAATTTCATTTCACTCGCACGAGCGCGTCAGAAATCGCCGGGATATTCGCGAGAAGAGAGAAAAAAATACGAGTCGTCGTGCGAATCTGAAATAAATCTAGAATAATACGTGCGCGCGTAGGCAACGAGATACTTTTCCGCGCGCGCGACACCACTCGTAGTTCCTCGCGAAAAATTCGTTGCACCTGATTCATGCATCGTACACATCGTCTCTCTGCAGCCTCGGGAAATTTCAAGTACTCGTGTCCAATCTCGCTCACGGATGAATGGACAAGCCGTCTCGGTCGCGCAACGACGCGAAACAAAACGACCACTTGCGTCCCGCGCACGCAGGGCGCAACGCGCGATCCGCGCAATTAACATTCATTAACGCGCTTGTTTTTCTTTCTGAAAAATGTAGCCGTGTAACTTTAGCTATTCATAGGTGTGTACTCGCCCAAGCCGCATTTTTACATTAATTTTTTCTGCCGTCGGTCGCCGCTTCGTGTTTTGCAGTTGAAATCGTGGGAGAGAAAGAGAGAGGAAGATCGGCGACAGAGATCATTTTTCGTTTTTACAATCGACGCAATTTCCTGCGCTGATTCCTTCGTCGGGAGACGTTGAACCCTCTCGCGGGCTCGTCCAATTAGCGAGTATGAATAATGCGACGTTATCTCGATTATCGATAGAAAAGCCTCGATGCCGCCCCACGGCGATCGCGCGCGCGCGCGGTTACAATCGGCCCTGCGGCGACAACGCGCTGCAATTCGAATAAAAGTGACTGACGTCAATAGGCAACGTGAAACGCGGACCGTATTTACGAATACGGATCGCGCTTCGACACTCTTTCCGCGTTCTATCGAGATACACACCGACTTTAAACCGATCGAGCGTGTGTGTTTTTTCTCCGCTTCTTGCCCCCGACCGTAATAATGAGATCCGCGGATAAGTGGTGCGCGACTGGCGCTCGTCGGTTTTATGGTGGGCGACGACATTCTTTGCGCGATTTACTTAGCTTAACACTAAAACTACCGATGATTAACGTGTACACCTTTCTATACCGGAGCAGTTTAAATAAGATTTTTGAAAAAAAAATACATAATGCGAGTTGTTGTTAGCTGTGCAATGTTATATATTCGAATGCGTACTTTATATATTAACGTCTGAAAAATTAGATAGTTAACGATCTCGCAATTTCTTTATGATATTTCCACAAGTCTTTTTTTGTTTTTCATTAAAACGTAAGAGTAATTTGATCACTAGAGTTATATATAAACATGATATCGGGAGCCGTTTCGTACCTGCGATACCTGTGTAAATAGTGCTAACTTTGACTTGAATCATCTCAGCTTCGGCTAATCTTTTTCTAATTTTACACGTATATATATCGTGTGTTTCGATTAATACGCTGTCGAAATGTGATAAGATACCGAAAGAAAACAAATTTACAGACCAACCACCTTAATTCGTTTCACGAGCCGCTGCTCGCGCCGATATATACGGCCAATACTGAACGGAGGCCGAAATCACGGCCAAATAACGCGCGGACCTTGCCGCGCGCGCGCGGAGATTAAAATGAACAGCGTATCGCGAAATCGAGCGTCGTCGTCCGCTTCGTCGGTCGGCCGAGCGAACGAGCGTTAACGACGCGCGAATAATAATAAACAGCCTTCGCGCGAGAAAGTAAAGTGGCATGCGACTCCGAAGATCCTTCTCTCGCGACGAGACGGCTATTGTTTCATCACGGGCGAAAAAACGCCGCCCCTTCGTCGTTCGTCACGGTGGTGTCGTGTCGATTTCCCAGTTCTGGATGACTAAAATTTCGCCCCCCCTCCCTCCCCCCGACGTGTAACGAACTATCTCGGTTGGATTAAATTCTTAGTAGGCTTCTCTGGTTGCAGCCCTCGAGCAAGGAGCAAACCCGATTGAGCAATCATGACTCGGCGGCGGGCGGCAAGGAGCACCGTCGCCAGAAGGATGGGTCCACCAGCAGCAGCAGCAACAACGGTAGCAGCAGCAACACCTACAGTGCCTTCCGTCAATGGCGACGGAGCACCTCGATGGGCTCCCACAACAGCCGGTCCAACAGCACCGGCTCCAGGGCGTCCCACTCGCTCGCCAAGTTGCCGAACGACCCAGCCACCATACGAAAGCTCGAGCAATTCCCCTTGGTCTTGTCGGACACGACGATGCCAGACGAGGACCTGTCGCTCAAGTTCCTCGCACTGGTACGCGCGGAGCTCCCGTCTCGTCGCTCTTGTGTGCTCACGCTTGTCCCTTCCTGTTGATGGAGAAGTAAAATTCTTTAAGAGCCAAGTCGCGATGTTATAAAAAATTATTATGAAATTATTGGAAGAAGAACGGAGCCAACGAAAGAAATCCTCCGGTTCTTGCCGATGTTCGCGTTGATGTCGCGTTGTGGTGTTGCAGAACGCCTTGGATCTGACGGCGCCGGCCAGCGACGTCCTCCTGAAAAATCGACTGAAGTCTTGGTTCCAGTTGTCCGGACACCCGGACGGCTTCGCTCCCGCCGGACCCGGCACGGTCTGGAAGAGGAGAACGGGCGGCGTTGAGAATACAGAGCGCGTCGTTTACGAGACTCTAAGCAAGGACGAAGAGTTGCGCGATTGTATTCCGAGGTAACTTCCTCTCTGTTACGACGACGACGTAGAGAGAGCGTCGCTGATCCGTGCCGTTCTTTCGCAGATATTACCGGGAGGTCGAATACAAGGGCGACACGTTCATTGAGCTGCAGGATCTGCTGTTCGGCTTCAACGATCCCCACGTGATGGACATCAAGATGGGTACGCGGACTTTCCTCGAGTCCGAGGTGTCCAAGACCACCGCCAGGCCGGATCTCTATCAGAAGATGATAACCGTCGATCCGGGCGCGCCTACCCAGCTGGAGCACGAGCAGCGCGCCGTAACCAAGTTACGCTACATGCAGTTCCGCGAGCAGCAAAGTTCGACCTGCAGCCACGGTTTCCGCATCGAGGCGATGAAACTGCCGGGCGCGCCGCCGATCACCGATCTTAAGAAGGTCAAGTCGCACTCGGAGGTGCTCGATACCATCAGGCAGTTTCTCGGCAGGCGCGAGGACACGCGCGGCAAGATCCTCGCGCGTCTCCGGAATCTGCGGACCAAGATCGAGGAGTCCAAGTATTTCGAGACCCACGAGGTATATGATTCACTTGCTTTCTGCACTGAGAGAAAGGCGATAATCATTACCGCCTGAAATGTCATCGAGGATAAGAGATGGAGATGCGCGGACGATATCGCGCGAAAATTCCTTCATCCTCTCTTATCTAGTGTCGTTAGTCAAATATGTTTTCTTTTCCGAGGATATTCAAAGTGGTAATAATTAATGCCCTACTCCGTGGTCTCTCGCATATAATTTGAATCTTTGCTCATTTTCTTAGAGTATGTTTTGTGTGTTCGATCATACGCTCATATCACGTGTTTTATCATTCAGGTAATTGGCAGTAGTATATTTATGATCTACGACAGCGAGAAGGTCGGCGTCTGGCTGATAGATTTTGCGAAGACACGAGAAGTGCCGGACGGACGGAAACTCACGCACAGGCGTCCTTGGGAGGAGGGCAACCACGAGGAGGGTTTTCTATTCGGATTGGACAATTTAATTTCGACGATGGAAGAAGTCTGCCTCTACTTGTGAAAAGCTTCCGGACGAGGCGGAATTTCAATTTCCCCGTGCTATAATTAACATGTTTACTCTACATGTACATTTTTAACGAGTGAAGAAAAGTATTTGTGCTTCATCATTTCTGCCAAATACATAAGTGATATTCAACTTGAGGCGACACGACACTTCAACGAGAGAAGAGGATCCTGTGCAAAAAGCACATTGTCGTCGATGGCAAAATAGTGGCGTATCGCGGTACTCGTTTCAACTCATCTTGAATATCTCTTCTGATCCTGTCGCAGAAGATATCGACATTCTCATCATTCTTATTTATGTCATCGATATGTATCTATTTACGTGTATATTGGTATTTAACATGGAAGACTGCTTTCTATTGCATTTTACGCGCATTTTTATAAGAGACACACATCTCTAGACGGAGTTTGCGACACGCATTACTAAACGTGTGATGCAAATGTGTAATGTACAAAATGTAGCATTTAAGGTAACGAGTAAATGATCTAACGTGTGTAAGCTAAGTGGAAACTTATTTATGAGGAGTGCTTACAGTCGAATAATAACGTTCTTACATTTTTTAAAGAGTACTCGCGTCTTCAGTTGCTTCGCGTTTCATTTTGTAGTAATAAATAAATAGTCCTCATATTTGTGCGGATGAATTATTTTATCTTGAGTGCTGTAACTTATCCTTCCATTACATGAAGTTCATCTGAATATACAATATATATATATATATATATATGTAACGAAAGCTTTAAAAACATGACAAGAAATCACGTTTCATTATCACGTTTGATCCGCAAATGTATGGGAAATTACATAAAATATTTGTCAAAAGCGTAATATATTGTGACGAATACAACGTTCCACATTTTGGCAATTTTAACATTCATGTAGTTTGCAGATGTAAGTTAACGATATTAGTGATGAAATTTTACGTACATCGTACTTTCCCATATTAACTAAATGAGAAAAAGAAAGATCGAGAGAAATTTGTCACACTGACAAGCGTAATTGATCACTTAAGAAGGAAGTAGAAAGCGCGGGCAACCAAAGTGGACGCTCATTGGTCGGTCGTTATTGCTGAGTGTAATCAAGATTCACTCCGAGATCGATAATTATCAAAATTGAAAGCTCATGCTTACAAGTTATTGCGAGAGACCCAATTACGCATACGGAGCGAGACATGATCAAGGCTGTCGTGACGCGTCTTGACAAATTATCCATCGACATGTAAGAATATCCGAACCGAACATGTACTGTTAATTTATGCAAGAGGGGTGTGCCAATTTGCGATAATTTACGGCACTTCGGACTGATTCTCATTATCTGGATAGTGGCAGACGTAGATCTGTCAATCCTTCGTCAAAATATTCTTCGGTACTTTTGCATCGAAATATTCATAGCATCCGTCACTATCATCTCTAGTCGCAGTTACACAGTAACAAACATTCCTAAAAAGAATGTTTTAACAGACGGTGCCAATCCGCGAGAAATCAGACATCAGAGATCTGTATATATTATAGATTTATTATATATCTATTATATATTTTTTCATTATATTGTACTTTTAAGTTTTTTTATTATTTTTTTAATCTATTTCGCACCACCTAGCATCGACATAATAGCGTTAGTATTGCAATATAATTAGCTTCCTAATATTTTCTGACCGTACGTATTTTTCTCTAGACATGGATCATTTGAGTGGCACGCGCGCACTATTGCGCACTCTTAGACTACAGCGATGGGACTTTACATTCCTTTGTTTTTTGTTTTAAAAACATTATTACAAAAATATTACGAAAGCTTAATCTTCATCCCCAAATTAAGAGATGTAGAAGAAAAAAATATCATGAAACTCATGAATCAAAGTGCGTATTAAACAGAAAACAGTGCATCAGGAATTGAAAATTATTTAACTTTGACATCAAATTCATATTCTTTGACATCGAAAACATAAAATTAGTGTTTTATGTTTTCGATGTCAAGGAATACGACAAGGATAGAATGACTCGTCAGCGCTGATCAGCGTTAATAGTGCGCTTCCTCCCAACGCACCCAATAAAACGTCATATATCGCTGTCGGATGCCAGAATGCAGTCGATGAGGAGAACCCACTTTGGAAAAATAAATTCTCTTATTGGACGATCGGGTACATTCCGACATCCGACTGTGACGTGCGACATATTGTAGAACGGGTCTTATGGAACGGACACTTGCGCACTATTACCGGCGCGCATGCCGCTCGAGTGACTCACACGTGACACATAAATGACACGTTATGTAAATTCGTTATGTAAAATGTTATATAAATATTCAATTTGCCTATTTAACATTTTATATGTGCAAATATGCACACAATTATTAAATACAACTACTAAAAATATAATGTAGGTCATATAGTGAGCGACTTTCAATTGAAACTTAAAAACCTAAATAATAAACGTGTTAACATAGAGCCGTCACAGAGACGGATTATTGTTTCGACACATTTTCTGCATTGCAGTGCCTACACACAGAAAAATATCTACTGCATTCGAATAAATATTATACTTGTTGCAAGTGTTTCATAAGTTTATTTATCCGCAAGCATAAGTTCATCACAAACATTAAATTTATTTAAGGTATATTCTGAATTCTAGTGAGTTAACACACTTCAATCAAGAATAATAAATTAAAATACTAACACTGAAACTTTTTGGTTTATTCATTCCAATCAGTCAAATGAAACTTCTCTTCGATAAGGTTCATAATATTTTTTAAAAAAGAACAAATTCTTCTTTAGAATAAATGTTAACGAGCTTTTCTAAAATTTGTAATAATATATATTTTGATAATGTTATCAAGAAAACATTCTTTGTCCAAAATAACCATTACTTAAAAAGAAAAAAATAAACCGAATAATTGCTCTTTTCTTCGTAGTATAATAATATTTTTCTCTGTGTACTTCTTTGAATAATCAATAATGCGTATGATTAGGAAATATTAATATTTTTATTATCTTACATATATATTAAAATTATTATGCCGGTCTGTGTATATGAAATAGAATAGATAACCTTAAGATAAGAATATTTTATCTTTCGGTTTTATTAACGGTTCGTCGGCAATTGCAAACAGAATGGTTTTTTAATTTAAGACACAAGACAGTCATTGTGCGTTATTTAAAGATAAAGGCTTAAGGCATAAAACATTGTCTTAAACCGATAAAGGCCGGTCTACAATAGGAGTTTCGAGCTTTAAGAAATTGACCAATCACAGTCGAATGTGAAGAGAACGATCAACTGTGAATGGTCAATTCCTTAAAGCTTAAAATTTAAAACGCCTATTGTAGACCACTAAGTCGGTAATTCTGCCAAGGTTCTAATTTGCCACAAAGATTCTGTTACCTTGTCGCTGTACGCAGTTATTTCGTGATGCATTTCGTCTGCGCGGAGATCTATAACGATCGAATAGATAGTTGAAAGTTAGAGAACGCTGCTGCACTCGACTGCACGGCTCGTGCCTAACTTCAGAGTCCGCCTCGCGAGCGAAATGGCGGCGGAGAGCGCGCGAGTTTACATACGTTGATATGCGGCGAGCGGCGGGGAGCCACTCTTGTGAAAATAAACAACGCGAGGTCTGTGCGTAACGGCGCGAATAGCGATACAGAGAAAGAAGATACGCGAACGACGAAGAAACGCGACCGGCGGCAGTGGCGGAACGATCGCGTGTGGAACGTCGAGCGAGGTAAACGATGGTTACGATTGAGCCCCATGTGTGCCCGAGCCGGTGGTGTCCGCGCGCGTCGCCTCGAACCGGTGCAATTCTCGCCCGATAATGCCCGCACGTCGCGTCCCCGCCGCGCGACGTTCTTCCACGTTCTCGCAGACCGTGCTGGACACCCGCGCGACACCACACGTCGCCGTCGCTTAGATCGTCGCGCGATCTCTCGCGTGAAATCGGCGGAGATTCCTCCTCCCCCCTCCCCCTACGAAATTATCGTGTACAGACACGCGCGCGCGGGAACGAACGAGAGAGCACGCGGGAGGCGAAGGGGTTGCGAGAATCTCTCGCGAGGACTCGACGAAACGGAATACCGGGCGGATAATTAGGAAGTTCCTACTGATCGGAGGGAGACGAGACCAGAGGATATCCTCTCCTCCAGCCGCCACCATGGCGACTTCCCGGGACCTGGAGAACGACTGGTCCATGCTCTGGCAGTACAACACCGACTACTGGACTTACGCCGGTGAGTGCTCCCGATCCGTAATAAGGGCGAGAAGTTTACGTTACGCCTGTTCAAGGTAAAACCAAAGTCTGGCCGTGCATCTATCTGCTTTTTTAACCCTTTCGTCCTGAATGGGTTACACGTATGTACCGCCAATGTTTCAAAACACTTAAAAGCTAGATTGTGTCATTTGGCATTAAATTAGCTAATATTTTATCATGAAGAGATTACTTACATTCAGAGACGAAAGGGTTGAATAGAATAAATAAATAAGTATGTATATAAGGTAGACCAATCGGGTCAACGTAAGCTGAGAGACAGTTGTCGTTAACCTTTTGTTTCGAACGAGGGGTAGGGGGAGGGGAGAGCGCGGAAGCACGATGAAACAGCTCGTTTGAGGCTAAAAACAACCGTCTCGAAGCTTATGTTGATCCGACTTGACCTGTGATTTAAATCACCTTGGTCTTCCCAGGTTCTCTGTTAATATATATTGTATATTAATATTAATTTTTAACTGCTATTCTATGTTGAAAGTATAAATGTATTTGAGGACCAAACAATAGGAACGTGCCGAGTAAAGCACGCGTCCTAAACATAAATACTTTTGTCTAGCGATACTCGTGAAAAATAGCGTAATCGACCGCGCAACGGTCCGTGTGACATTTTGCGAGCCCACGAAAATATCGTTGAGCAACATAAATTTGACTCATCCATAAACATATACAAACAGATAGACACGTATGCTTTGACGGGGAGGATAAGGAGAGGACGGAAACGCGGAGAGATACGATAAAGATATACACGTAGTGTATACACAAGTCCTGCCCTAAGGGTTATTTCAGGAACTAATAAGAGTCAAAGATCGCGCCAATAGTGCGCGAAATTCCGCGTAAACACGACACGCGTTCGCTGGATTTCCCTTTACTTTCCGCGAACGAGAGGAGGAGGCCGATGAAAGTTGGCGCTCAGAGTGAGGAGGATAGGCGATATCGGTCGAAAATGTTGTTTATTACGCGCGCGTAACCTAACGTAACGCCTTACACGCCTTTACTCGACGTGGACACGCGGAACGCGCGCGCGCGCTGCCTTCGGACTTTCTTCCCTCGCGCAGAACTATGCCGCGCGCGATTACGTAAAGCCGCCTGTTATTAGCGCCCGAGATCTTCCCGCATCGACAATTCCCATTTTCGCGCGCGAAAGCGAACATTCTTTCCCCGTTGGCGATTTCAATTTCCCAGCAGCGCTGCTCTTTGTCGCTCGACCGTTTGACATCGCAAACCCCTTCGGAAACGCAACTGCTCCGCGAAACCTTGCCGACCCGTTTCTCTTCCATCCACCACCGCCAGTGAAGACGACGAATTCCCGGCCTATTCGGTCGCGGCAGGTTGAACGACAGCGATATTCAGGCCTAGCTCGCTAACGAATAGCGACATTGCCTCGTCTTAGATTCATCGAAATCCACGCACCGTTGATACTTTCTAATCGACCGGCCGAATTGCGTTTCGCGGATCGTTACTTACGCTCGGGAACACCGGTGATCGATCGTCCGTTTCGAACGGACAGAATTCGGAGTTTCTCGGTCGACGAGCGTAGACGTTCGATGCCACGGCGAGAAAATCCCGATAGACGAGAGTGAACTCTGGTAGAAATGCGAGACCGGTCGACTCGAGTCAGAAACTAGTAGTTAGCCGATACAGAATTGCGTTCGCGCAGAGAAGACAAATTTATATATATTTACGAAACTAAGTTATTTGGTTGCGATAATGAAATGTTCGGTCGACAAATATTCACCAAATTTTAGTAGTCGTTAACGAATCCTTTTTCCAGTGTAGACGACGCAAAGTGCTCGTCGCCCTTTCCGCCATTCTTTTCACTCGATGTCGCATACAAATTGTCAAAGCTCTTCCACGATCGATTAGTCTCTCGTACCTATCGAAAAGTGCGACCCGGCGGTTGGATAACGGTGAAGTGGAAACCCGCGCTTTTCACCGATCAGCGGAATCGGGAGAGACTGTCCGCGGCGATTTTCTCGTAGCTCTGGAGGAAAAGATCTCAGTCACGAAAGGTCGTCGGGGTGAGAGATGAGCGCGCGGGTAAAAGCTCGCTCGCGGTTTGCGCGGCTCACCTGGGGGACAGATCAGATCGCGTCTTGGCGGCGATCACCGTGAAATCGCCGTGATCATTTTCTAACCGCAGAAACGGAAGACCGACTTTTCCGCGACTCTCGCCGCCGGCAATCGACGCGATAATCATTCATTTATACGGCGGCCAGAGATATCGAAACGAAATGGAAATGCGCGACGAATCCTCGGATTCTTATCGGCGAGATACACGTGTAATACGTATATAGTATATTCCGATATTCCTTTCTCTCGGTGAGCATGAAACGCATTTTCCTTTTGGATGCCTTGCAAACTCACTCGTCGGGCGTGGCAATTTTGACTCATCCGATACATGTTCGTATGTACGTCGAGTAGTTTCCGTTAATTGGTTCTTTGGTATCCGACAAAAGGGCACCGCGTAATTTCGCGAGAAACGGACAGACAGACCGAGTTCTCGCCGGTGCAGCAGCGATCGCGCTCGTTTCGCGATCCCGATCGTCCGCTGTTATTCGCTGAGAGAACGCGATCGGGAAGAAGGGATCGCGGCACGACGGCATTAGGCCAGAATAGTAATTTCCCGCTAATAACGGGAAGTGATACGTATCTTCGCGAAGACGAAGTCACGTTTGTTCTTCTCGTATCTGGGAAGGAGGAGGAGGAGGAGGAGAGAATCTTTCTCCGAGGCGCGGAATCTCGGAAGGATCGCGAAAGCGGAGTATTCTCTCTCGAGATACGAGGATACTCGCCGGTGAGAAGCGTAGCTCGCGTTGTCCGCATCGTGAAAGATTACATATATCATCAGTACGGCTTGCAAATCGAGCACGAGAAAATACGATAATATCCCGAGACGGTTCATACCGTGATAATCGCAGCGATAGACTCGAATTTTGAGGCCCCGGCTGGACTCCCTTCCTGCTGCGTTGCAGCATTAAGAGATAAGCCCCGCGAATGTGTAATCATGTCTCTTTAGTAGAAGCCGGTAAATATCGGTTAGGAAGAATTTATCTTGTCACGGGGATGGAAAATGTAACGAATACGTGAGATAACCTTATCGGTCGATTGGAAACCCGCTACAGCCGACTGGAAGGAACGTTCATAATACCTCTCTCTCTCTCTCTCTCTCTTGTACTCGGTGAAATTAGGCTAGGATAACAATTTGGACTTTCGAGGCGCGATGGTATAGGCGATGTGCAGTGACGGCTGGGTGACCATGCCAATTACGGATCATCCTACCGAGGCTGACTGTAATTAGAAGAATTCGCCTTTCTCCTTCCGTCGATGCGCGCGAGCAAGATCATCTCGAGAAAAAAAATAGCGAACTGTTTTTCGCGACTGTACTGAGAAGCCATTTAGTTGAATCAAATAATTCTTGTTTGTGATTTTAAATTTCGATTCGTTTATCCAGTAAAAATATTTTATAAAACTAAATTCTGATATTCTCTTAAGCTTTTTTCGGGAATCTCCGAAACACACACGTCGCATTATCTCTCGCTGATAATCGCACGGATCGGTTTAATACGTGATTAACGACGAGACGATGATAATGATGTAACGACTTACGTGCGACTTAACCGCACGGCCGTTGGACTCGTAAATAAGAAATCTCGCTCGCAGCTGCACACGGCTATTATCGTCGCTGATTGAACGTTCGTCGGTTCTTCAAATTATAAACCACGTTCGCCAAGGCGAAGTCAGCGAATGCGTCGCTCTTGCGACAACAATCTTGTGACGGCATTGCAAGCGGTAGAGAAGACTCGCTTTTAAACGGGTTGTCTCATTGAGTTTGACACCTTGAACCGATACCTCGCACGCTACTCTGTGCGACTTTTCACAGCAGGCGCGGCAGGTATAAATACGCGATTATGTATTAACGTAGAGTCGCGACGGAGGAGGATCGCGGAACCGGTTTTCTCATAGGAGAACAATTAATTACCGTCCGATGAGTGTAGTGTTGGACGGCGTTTCGGATAAGAACGTTCGAAAGATTCGCGATGAGCATCTCGGTGCTGAGGTTCTTCGCGAGTGAGCATCGCGCAAGCGAGGAGAGAGGAAACGATCCTTAATTATTTATAGGCCGTGCAGTTAATCACCCCCGATAACCCGCGAGAGATACCCGGCTTATCTCTTTTTCCTTTTTTTTCTTTTTTTTTTGAAGCAGGTTCGGTTACAGCTGGTGCGTGTGTACCGTTACAAACATGTAACGTAAAATTACACCTATCTACCTGCCTATCTATCCACCGCGCGACAGCATGTTTCTTGCAGCTTTGGAAAGTCGATCTCGACGCATTACCGATCGACCCCGGGTAGGATCTACCCTTTCTTCGGTGATCGTTGCTCGACTGTTCGATCTGATCTTTCGATGATTCTCTGGAGAGGAATTATCATTCTTAGATTTTATTATTATTCTTTGTGCTTGGATTTTATCGTATCCTGCGTTGGGAGAATTGTAAAAATTCAGATCAAGATACGTTACTGCCTATTGTCTGAGAAATGCACGCCTTCCAAAGGCCGATAAGAAGCAATTCACGCGTCGGTCGGAAATGTGCCCAGATGTGCGCAGAGATGGATAGAAGTTCACGGAATATTCATATTAAAGCATCCGTGCAGAATTATGAAAAATAATGTCATTAAAACCGTAATAGCTATTGAAATTTCAAACGCGATATCGGAAGCCGTTTTCATACCTGCGATGCATTTAAATAGCGCCAGCTTTGGCCACTCAGTGATCTCACACGGAGGAAACGAATTTCTGCTGGAACAGCAAATTCCTTGTTAATATAGTGACAGCAACAAAATTTGTTACACGGGAAAAATAATTTTGCCGTTGCAGCGAAACGTCATTGCTACAGCAATAAAATTTATTTGGCGTAATCAAGTTATTTTGCTGTCCTTATATCCAGCAAATAGCAATTAATACTC